TTTTTTTTTGTTCTCTTATTGAAAAGTCAATGTATAATTATTTCATATTTATTAGGGTCAATATCGACGTTTATTAGGTAGTTTAAATGCAGTAAAACAACGAGCACCACGTGTTGGAGGTAATAATATAAAATAAAAATTATGATATATTAATGTTTGTTTGTCTTTTTAGCATCTTTCAGTGCATGGGGGTGCATATTTTCATTAGTTGACTGTAGTTTTGTTTATCTAAGAAAGAAAGAAGATCCATGGAATTCAATTATGAGTGGAGCATTGACCGGAGCTGTTTTACAAGCTCGACGTAAGTTAATTCTTCGAGCTTTCTATTTAAAATGATAATAATTTTAGAGGGACCAGCCGCTATGTTAGGTTCAGCTGTGATTGGTGGTTTTATTCTTGGAATGATCGAAGGAACAGGTATATTAATTAATCGATATAGTCAATATCTTATGCCACAACCTGGAATGGAAGGTAAACCTATTTTTTTCTATTTTATATTCATTAATATATTTCCTTTTTTCTTATTTAGAATCTCCACCTGATCTTGATAAAGGCAAAGTCGATCTTTCTATCCCACAATTTTTCGGTTCATCTTCTGGACAATCCTCTACGCCTAGTAATTTTTCGTGAAATGGTTCTTGTTTGTTTTCCCAATTCCGATTTAGAAGTAACATTGTGAAATAGATCAAAAACCGGTTTTAGGTTTTTTTGCCCTTTTTTTGTTCTGTTGTATTGCATACAAAAATTATTGTCCATCGTGTTTTTGAATGAAAGAAAAAGACGACTGTCAGAAAAAAAAACGAATAAATTTTCATATTAATCAAGAATATTTAGTTTGTTATATTTTTTTAAATAACAGTGGATGATTAGTGAGTACATGTTTTTTTTCTGTTGAAAAACTGATAAGAATCTCATGCAATAGATGTAGATTGTTGACTTTGGCTGTTCTTCTTTTCATAAGATCAAGTTAAAAAGACGACAAGTGTTGAATAATTTTTTATTTTTCTTCTCATTACTTTTTCCCATATACAATGTATAAATCAATATATTATCTATGGTTTTTTCTCGTTACAATTCAAACACAATTCATTGATGATGATTCATCCGATCCATTAGGTATGGACGAAGCCAATTTAACAATAAGCAATACAAACTATCCACATCCTATTATATTTACATATAATGTAATAGAATGTGAACGATGTAATTTTGAAAGATTAAATGATTTAATTCAACCAAATACTAGTTATATTGTTAAAATCAATACAGTCTATGCGTATGATTTTCGTGTTATAAATGAAACAAATGAAACTGTATGTCAAATAAAATCATATAAATTCTCTGAACATGGTTCATATCAATTTGAAAGTTCTTGTATTATATATCAAATAGAAGAATCAGGTTATTATTGGTTACCTGTGATCATAGGCATGAGTATTATCTTTCTATTCATTATATTTACACAAATATGGCATTGTATATCTCGTAGTCCACGTTGTGCTCGTTTTCTTCCTAGTTTTACTCAACAAGAATTAATAAATAAAGATTCTTTTATTCAATTACCAAGAACTCCAACAACAATTGTTAATGATTCAAATGATGATATTATTGGTACACTTTCATCAAGTACTGAATTACGGTTAGTTGGGTCAACACGATTATCAAATAATTCAGTTCGAATTACAAAAGTTTTACCTAAACGTCTTCGATCATTAGATACATTTCGAGGATTATCATTGATGATCATGATTTTTGTTAATTATGGTGGTGGTGGATATTGGTTTTTTAAACATTCTGGTAAGTTTTATTTTTAAAGCTATACATGATTTTTTTTAATTTGCGTACATAGTTTGGAATGGTTTAACTATTGCTGATATGGTTTTTCCATGGTTTACATGGATGATGGGCATTTCAATTGTTCTTTCACAACGATCACTTCGAGCAAAAAATATACGAAAAAGCACAATTTTTTTCAAAATATGCCGACGAACTCTAGTACTTTTTACATTAGGTATAATGCTACAAGGTGGTTCTGAAAGATGGGTTTTTATTCGAATATTTGGTGTCCTTCAACGGTTAGCTATATGTTATTTTTTCGCTGCTATACTTGTACTTATTTTTGATGATGCTGAAGATGAACCATATTCATCTGAATGGCCCATAGGTAAATTTATATTTTTTGCAAAACAAAAAATTATATATCGAATATTTATTTATGAAGGTGATGATGTTCATCAGCCGATACGAATAGAATTATCCAATACATTATTTCATTTTTGGCCACAATGGATTTTTATTTTATTGATCACTCTTGCTTGGATTTTAATTACTTTTCTACCGAAATTTGAAAATTGTCCACACGGTTATTTAGGGCCAGGAGGAAAACATGAACAAGGAAAATATGAAAATTGTACTGGAGGTATATTTAAAATTTAATTTTTTTTTTTATTAATTCATTGAATTGATTTATTTTTAGGAATGGCTGGATATATTGATAGATTAATTTTAAGAAGTTCTCATATGGATAATCATCCAACATGTAAAAATGTTTATGATACTAAAATACCATACGATCCTGAAGGTAGAGAAACACAAAAAAAAATATGAATTAGTATTTTATTTCATTTCCTATAGGGCTTTTGGGTATTTTAACTGGAACTTTACTTTGTTATCTTGGTGTTCAAGCAGGTCATAGTTTTGCTCATGCAACACGTATACGTCGTGTTTGTGCTCATTGGATTATATCTGGTTTTATTTGTGGATCAATTGGTTTAGCTTTATCAAAAGGTGGTCAATCAGATAGTTGGATACCAATTAATAAAAATCTTTGGTCACTTAGTTTTGTACTTATTTTAGCTGGTTTAGCTTTCATTATTCTAACAATATTGTATTTACTTGTCGATGTTTGGAATTGGTTTACTGGTGAACCATTTTTATGGCTAGGAATGAATTCTATTGTTATTTATGTTGGACATGAAGTATGTTCAAATATGTTTCCTGTACAATTTAAAGTCGAAGAAACAAGACATTGGCAATTAATGACTATGCATATTTATGGAGTTATGTTTTGGACTATTGTAGCAGGTTTAATGTATCTTAAAAAAACTTTTATTGCGATTTAATTGTAATGCGATATATTCATTTTTTGTTTTTCGAAAATCTATGAATTAATAAATTTCTTTTTTTTTTATATATTCTGGTAGCCTACTCCCTCTATTGAAAATTTCTATTGATGATGTCTAGAAACCTATATTTTTACCTCATGTCAACTTGAGAATTTTATTATTCTTTCATACAGTTTTGCAATTACATAAAACGAAAATGACTAGTAAAGTTGAATTGGTTCCAATCTCGGAAGGTAATCGTGTAACAGTAAAAGAAAATGACAAAATCATTATTGGACGTGGATCATCATTAGGTGTATGTGTAAAATATTTGTAAATTTTTTTAAAATAAATCATTATTTTAGTGTAATGATAAAAAAATTTCTCGTCAACATGCTGAATTATTACTTAAGAAAGATCAAACACTTTGGATTAAACCAACACATAGTAATCCAGTATTTTATCGACCTTTAAATTGTAAAACAATTCATTTAACAAAAGATATTGAACAAGAATTAAAAGATGGTGATCAAATTGGTTTATTACCAACAACGTTTTTCTTTCGTATCAGTTTCTCTACGGATACGAACAATAATAAAGATGCAACATCATCTAAATGTATAGATAATCATATCAGTATTGACACAAGTAAAAGATTAACAACAGATGTTGATAATGTTACTACTTCATCTTCTATAAAAGATCAAGTATGTTAATGTGAAACTAGTACCCTCTTCTTCATATGTTTTTATTCTTTAGGAGGAGTCTCAATCTGAAAATTCAAATAAACTATTACGTAAACTACCAGCATGGATGTCTCCATCAACTTCTTCTCCTCGTTCAGATAATACGAAACGACAATGTAAGTGTATATTCATTAACTATAATGATAACATTAAAAACAAACTTTATTACAGTAAGTTTAGACGAAGATACTAATGAACTAACTACAGAAACTTTTGATTCTGTTACACCGAAAAAAAGTATGTATTTAAATAATTATTACTAGTTCTTTAAATAAGGTTTCGATTTAGTTAAATCAAATAATAAACCTCGTCCACCTTGTCAATATGGTGCATCATGTTATCGAAAAAATCAATTGCATCGAACTGAAGAATCACATCCGGGTGATTCTGATTATGAAGATGAAAAAGAAAAAGAAACTAAAGATGATGATAATAAAGATACTACTAGTAGTGATACGGATAAACCTCAATGTCCATATGGTAAAACTTGTTATCGACAAAATGCTCAGCATAAACGTGATTATAAACATTAGATTAGTTTAAATAATCGATTGTGAGAATTGTTTTTTGATTGTTTTTTAAAATAAAATTTGTATATTTTAATTCAAATCTTATATTGAATCAATTGTGTTGACCAAAATACAGCGACATCTAACGTATTAATAAAACAAATAGAGGAAATTGCACATTGTATATGAGATTTTCGTTCATAACTTGTTCTCTATCATCAATTCTCTGTTCTCATGTTCATTGCTCATTCGTATGTATCGAACAACTCATCGCTAGTGGTAGTCATCTTGCCTTCATACTCACTTCTTTCGTTCGCGTTAACTGAACAAACAAACCATCGTCTATACGGTGTGTATGTCTACCTTTTTTCTCCTCCTCTCTCTCATCTTTTTTTTTTGTTGCCTTCTTTAATTATATGTGAGTACACAGACATCTCTATTGACGTTTTTTTCTCTTAAGATAATGTCTTCGACGAATGGTACTAGCACATTACGTGTTAATGTTGCATTATTTGAACGTGATGTGGTTAAACTTGTACTCGATTTTCTTCAACAACGTGAACTTTATATTAGTATGCTTGATGTCGAACGTGAAACAGGTAGATTTCAAAAAGCAATTAGATCTATTCATATCTGGTTTCACTCACTTTTTTGTTTAACGATGTCTGGGCTTTTTCGTTTTTAGGTATTATTAATGGTTCATTTTCGGAAGATATACTTTTCTTACGACAACTTATTTTGGATGGACAGTGGGACGATGTCATTGATTTTGTTCAACCATTAAAAACAATCGAAGCATTTGATGCTAAACAATTTATTTATATTGTACTTAAATATCAATTTCTTGAATTATTATGTTTAAAAACTGAAGCACAAATTGAAAATGATTTATCAGTTGAACAAATTGTGAAGTAAATCAAATATGAATTAAAAAAATCAATATATACATATATCTTTCTTTGATTAGGTTTCTCAATGATTTACGACCATTTGCACCAAATGAACAAGAATATAAAAAATTATCTTTTCTACTTACACTCAAACGTTTACAAGAACATACAGATTATTCAAATTGGAATCCTAGTGCTGGTCGTGTACAATGTTTTCAAGAAGTATTACCACTTGTTCATCGATTTTTACAAGTATGAAACTTCTTTTTTTGTCAAATTACGAATAAAGAGATTAAGACATTTTATAAATATTGTCTATGTACTTATATAGTTATAACATATACAAACATTTCTTAATCTTTCATTCTAGGTAGACAAACAAATGATTCCTATAGCCCAAGGTGATCGTTTAATTCAATTACTTGTCAAAGGTCTACTTTATGAATCATGTGTTGAACATTGTCAAGCACGTGCAACAAGTACAGATGAAACAATTGATCTCACTGATCCAAATTCTTTATTATCAAATACACGTTTATCAGATACGGATGTTTCACTTCTTTCATGGCTTCATGCACTACCAACTGAAATATTTTCATGTCCATTCGAACAAAAATCTTTAACATTAAATATTGATAAACTTCAAAAACCTGTTCTTGAAGCAACATGGGCTGAACATGTTTTAAGTACTCCATTTAAACCTCAAACAATGTTTCCATTTAATGCAACACCTACAGGTAAACCACGATCAACTGAATTAATGTCGCGTTCATTAGCACCACAATATGATGGATTATCTTATGGTCTTATTCGTTCACAAATATTCGGAGATTATAATCGTAATTTTGTTAATGATATGAGTCGTTCACTAGCTGTATGTAATGTAAAAGATAATGGCATTAATAATATAACACCCCCAATAACAACAAATTTACCAACAGTTGAAGAAGTTCTTTATGAAGAAACACCTCCACCACCTTCGCCACCATTGCCACCACCACCAAGTTCATTATCACCCGTATCAAATAGAATGTCTCCACAAAATTCCTATCGTTCACAATCACCAAAACGAAGTGTAACTAGTCCTCCATTGATAAAACAAACAAACAGTACAACGATAAGTGAAAATGGTAATCGTTCATCAAATACAGATGTTCCAGAAGATCGTTTACTTAAGGAATATCAAAAAAGTCGAGCAGAAATTAGCAAACAATTTGATGAACAAGAAATTCGAAGAAATGAATTACAAAAACAACTTGGTAAAAATTCATAAAAAAAAGAAATTTTATTAATAAATAAATAAAAAGATTATTCATTTGATTTAGTAACGAATCCAACAATACGAGAAATTAATGAAGTGACGAAATATGATTCACTTGAAGTATATTCATATCTTAATTTAAATGAGCAAAAAAAAAGAAACGAATTCTATTATTTAGGATATAGCTCGTTCACCTGCATTTATACCAGTCGTAACTATTGAAGATGTACAAGCTATTCGTTCAGTTGATGTTCATCCAAGTGGTAGATTTTTTGCTGTTGGTTCAAATTCGAAAATGCTTCGTGTTTGTGCATATCCAGATATAAAAACTATTCGTACAGATTCAGTACCAAAACCAGCTAAAGTTTTATATAAAAAAGGTAAACATCATTTGGGAAGTATTTATTGTATGGGATGGTCACCAAGTGGAAAACTTATTGCAACTGGATCAATGATAAACTTATTAAAATTGTTCGACTTAATATGGATAGACCAGAAGATGATTTAAATAGTAAGTAATCATATTTTTTTATAGTTAGAATACGAGACAATATTTAAATTTTTTAGATACAGAAATTGAATTAACACATCATAATGGCACTGTTCGAGATCTTATTTTTATGAACGATAATGCAAAAGATGATTCAGTATTATTAAGTGGTGGTGCGGGTGATTGTAAAGTTTATGTAACGGATGTTAAAAAACAAACACCAATTAAGAGTTTTAGTGGTCATCAAGGTAAGAGTGCTAATAAAATAATCACAGAATAATAACTCTTAACAAAATAGCAAATAAATTATGATTGATGAATCGGAAAGGTTATCGATGCAGATAAAGAATGTAAAAAAAACATGATTTGCTCTATTTATTGTATTTACAAGAACGAAAGAGAATATATGAGTAAAAATGTAACACAGATCCAATCATGAATGATAAAATCAACATTTTTTTTATGAATATGAACATGTCATTCACCAAACAATGTTGACAGATGATTATTCAAACATGCGCTCACCTCTCTCTTAGAGTTATGACACACATATCACTGTAAAAACGTTCATTGATGCATTAAATTTAACATATCGAGTCATATCATTTCAATACATCTCTTATAAATATAGTTACCGTTGATGAATAGAGTTCAATGAGTTTAGATTACAAAATTTGATTCTCCCTAAAAATACCGAAAGTAGAAAAGTTTTGAAAACGTATATTTTTAGGTCATATCTATTCATTGTTTACTTGGGATGCTTATAATTTTGTTTCGGCTAGTCAAGATGGAACATCACGTTTATGGGATATACGTCAACCTGAATGTATCAATGTTATAGCACCTCGTGTTACAAGTATAAAAATTAAAAAACACAAAAAAAATTATTTTCATTTCGAATTATTCAATAGATAGTGCAGTAGCAGCTGTTGCTGTTGATAGTTCAGGTCAATTATTAGCAGCTGGTTATGAAGATGCTTCATGTTTACTTTATGATCTTCGTGGGAAACGTATTGTTCAAACTTATCAACCACATTCAGGTGAAATTCGAAGTGTTCGATTTTCTGTACATTCATATTATTTACTTACGGCTTCCTATGATAAAAAAGTTGTTATGACAAGTTTAAATGGTAATTAAAAAACCTAACTAAAATTTATACAATCATTTTATTATCTAGGTGATTTAACGAAACCACTTATTCTATCTAATGTAGCTGCACATACAGATAAAATAATTCAAGCACGATGGTAAAGTTTTTTTTAATTCGAAAATTTTTATTTATTTTTTATTTAGGCAACCAAATGAAATGTCATTTATTACGACAAGTGCTGATCGTACGTGTATGGTTTGGATGCCACCACCATCAGCTCTATCAAATCTTGGACAATTATCATAAATCAAAACGAAATTCAGTGTTTTTTTGTTGTTTCTTTTTTTTCCTTGATCTCATTTTTTTAGCGTTTTTTTTTCTTCCTTTGTTCTTGTAATTTAATTTCGAGCAAAAACCAAAAATTGATTATTTATATAAACAAAAATTTTGCTTTTTCATAGTATTAGTTTGTAAGAACAAAACAAAAATACAGACAAAAATAATACGTACATGTGCTGATAGATAAATCTATTTGTTTTATTCAATTTATGTGTATATTTTTTGCTTTTTCGTTTTAAATAAGATAAATATAATAATTATTATTATTTGATTAAATTATTTTATAAAAATTAATATATCTATGAATGTTTAATAACGTAGTTCTAGATGCCACCACTTACGTATTATTATGATTTAATGTCACAGCCATGTCGGGCTGTGTACATATTTCTTAAAATGACTGGCATTCCATATCAATCAAAAGAAATCGCTTTAAGAAAAATGGAACATATGAATGATGAATTTAAAAAAATAAATCCATTGAAAAAAGTACCAGTGATTGATGATTCGGGTTTTATTCTTACTGAAAGGTATTTGAAATAAATTAATAATTTATATTTTATTTTATTTTAGTGTGGCTATTTTAACATATCTTTGTGATAAATATAAAAAACCTGACTGGTATCCAGTAGAATTAGAAAAACGAGCACGTGTAGATGAATTTACTCATTGGCAACATCTAAATTTACGTTTTAATGGTACTTCACTTTTTCAAACAAAAGTATTAGTAAAATTATTAATTTTATTTCTCATAAATAGATTTTCTATCTAGGTCATTAAACCTCGTATGACTGGTAAACCACCAAGTGATGTTGAATTAGAAAAATGGCATAAAAACTGGGAAAAATCAACCAATAGCATGGAAAAAATTTGGCTTGCACGATCATCTTATTTAGCTGGAAATCATATAACAATTGCTGATCTACTTGGTAAATTACAATTTTGAAAATCTTTCACATTTCAAATTTATATTTCATAGGTATTTGTGAAATGATGCAACCAATATCTGCTGGTTATAATGTCGATGCAACGAAATTTCCTCGTGTACAAGATTGGATGGAACGAGTAAAAAACGAAACTCAACCTCATTTTGATAAAGCACATACTATTCCAATGCGTTTGAGAGATACAATTTTAAAAGAAAAATCAAAAAAGTTATGATCGATTGATTCCATTTTTTTTTATTATAATTAGACTGGTGCTGGATTTTTATTTTACTCTTTATGATTAATAAACTAAATTTATAATAGTATAGATAATACGATATATCACAATCACATAACGAAAAAAAAACGTGTTCCTATGATGAATCATTGACTCAAAATAATACTCGTTAACCCCCAAAAATTAACTAATCAGATCACTGTAGTGTATACAAAGAAATCACCATTTCTACTAGTAAATATCAATAAAAATTTTAATAAATAAAAATTAATTAAATTATGCTTTGAACAATTTCAATATTTCAATCTACAATTAAATGTATTTAATGATATGAATTGCTTTTGTATTCATTATTCTCAACGTTTGTCTTTGATGCATCTTCTTTTTTCTCTCTCTCGTTCGCCTTGTTTATATGATAGAATGACGAGTGATGGACATAATTGCAATTTGATTCGTTCGATAGTTATATTTCGTATATGAGACCATTTATACATCCAATGTTAACAAGAAGTATACACACACACACATATATATATATTAATTGTTAGCAAACATATGCTCTGAATGGAAAAAGTTTTTAAAAAAAAATATTTGATGGATGATTATTAATATTAAAAAAGAATGTAGAATTTGCATAATGTGAATAGTCTCAGAGGAAGACACAACACTAAAAGCTTGTTGTCTTCTTTGAGATTTTTCTTTTTGTTGGAACGAATAAGAATTCTCTTCGAATCTAACCAATGAAAAATTGATCCGTTCTGTATATGTGTGTGTTTCTATAAAGAGAAAAGAAAGACAAGTATATACATTAAGGAGAAAGAGGAGAAGAAGAAAAAAAAAGAAGAAAATGGTACGAGTAGGATGAGAAACGAGAAAGAACAAATCAAAATATCTATCGAAAAGCGATTCACACATATACACTCAAACAGTCAAAAGAAACGCGACGACAAGTAATACTTGATTAATTGTTCGAACGGAAATCTAATCATATATATATTTTTCTTTCTACTCTCTCATCATACAAGTATTAAAAACTAATAACATATATTACTTAAAAGAAAGTAGAGACAATATTTAAGTTTATATCATATTTAATTTGTGGTAAATTATTATGATTATCTTCATATAATAAAAATCATTATATTTGATTTATTTTCTTTTTTAGTATGTTATTACCACCTTGTTGGACAATATCATCAAATTCAATTGAAAATTCATCATCTATTGATGATATTATGTTATCAACAGCAACAACATCGAATCAACATCAACCAAATTTTTGGTTTTCTGGTAATCCTATTCCATCATTTTTTTCTTCATCATCATCAACAACAGCAGGAGGTGGTGGTGGAGGAGGAGGAATAGATAAAAATCCTTATATACAACAACCAATGACAAATAAAATACTTTTTGATACAAATCCATGTAGTTCAAGTTCGGAAAGTTCACCACCACTATCTAATGATTATCTTTTATCACGTTCAAATCCATCAACAACATTAAATTTAACACAATTTAATTATATACAACAAAATCATCATCATCATCCATCATCAAATGGTTTTCTTCAACGAGATGATTGGTCACAAATACCAATAGCACAAACAACAATTTCTCCTACTTCTGCTGCTGCATGGGCAAAAGGTAAAAAAAAATGTTATGTTTTTTTCTTTTGCTTCTCATTACATCAGACCTATTTATGCCATCCTATTGTATAGAGAGAGAGAGAGGGAAGAGGGAGGAGGAGAGAAGGAGGGTTGCTCAATACCACATATATATATACATACAATCATCCGTCTATTCATATTCTATGTCTTAATGGTTATTCGATGATTGGAAGGATGATTTATAATATTTGTCGCCGGCACATTACATCTGCTTGAGCTCGTTTTTTATGCAATACAAAAAAATCATGACAATATATTTCCGTTTCTTCATCAAGTGACACTTTTAGCTTCATCTATCAACCTACACTTTCAATGAATATGATCATCCGAAACATAGAGAGACAATTTGTCATCGAACTAAAAATGAGTCTGTCGTTTTTTTCTTATATGATTATTTTCAATAGAAAATTTGTGGCACTACTAGGAGTAAGAAAAAAAAAGAAGAATGATCGTTAGTTTCAAGGCGTGACGAATATACATATCTTTATCGTTGCTCAATTGATTTGTTGACACCTTTATATATCTATCCCTATTAAACACCTTTAGAAATATATATATACGAAACATGCATGCAAGTATCTTTTTAATGAGATCAACACATATTTAATGAGCAACAAATGACACTTTTTTTCTTACGAATAAATAACACATAATATTCGTGATAGAGGAGAAAAAAAACAAAAATAACATTAATTGATTGAAAGAGTCCAGAAGGTGAAAGCAATGAGCCGAAACATCTTGAGAGAAAAAAAAATAAGAAACGGATGCATATTATATTGTGTCATATGCCGCTTCCGATCTTGAAAGAAAATCTATCTTTCAATATTTTATCAATAGACCATAGATAAAAATTATAATTCCTTATATATTGACGACATAATTTGATATATTAAAAACACGCTTGATTGCATGTCTATATTGTTGGATAGCAAAAATTAATATTATCGAAGGTAAATGATCATTACGTAGTGACACATACACCATTATAATAAAGGAGAAATGTATATGACATCATTTTAATGGTAAGGTATATGCACACTAAATGAATAAAAACGAATGACCTATGATCAAGAACTTTTTCACTGTCATTATTTAATTGATAATCATATATATATATATATGTATATATGATGATCGATTGACAAGTGATTTTGCCGGTATACCGTGAAATTGTCATCAAACACATTCAAAAGTGCATTCACTCGAAAATAAGATCGATGTTTATATATATATATGACAGACAATGGCATCATCAATGTATGAGAACGCATGCGCACGTCATTCTTTTGAATAATTTATTTTGATTTTTATATATATATATAGACTTTTTTTTGTTGTCTATCCTATTCTGAAGTATGTTTATATATATATATATATATATCTATATATGCGAAAGGGTTATTAATAAAGCGTTAACTCTGATTGCTTTTTCTTATAAACAAATAATTCTTTAGGTGTTCCGATTGATAATTCTCAAGCAACACATTATTCCGGTATAGTTAATGGTAATGAATCAATAAAAGATATGAAACGTAAAAGTAGTCGACCGACATTTACTGGACATCAAATATTTGCATTAGAAAAAATGTTTGAAAATACAAAGTATTTAGCTGGAACGGAACGTTCACGTCTTGCTTCTCAATTGGCAATGAGTGAAGCACAAGTTAAAGTAAGAAATCAATTTGTTTCCTTTATATACATTTTAAATTCATTACTTTTTTTAGGTCTGGTTTCAAAACAGGTAAAAGAATTTTTTTTTTGTATTTATTAAATATTTTGTTTATTTTTCAGACGTACAAAATGGCGAAAAAAACATGCAGCTGAAATTCATGGTAGCAATGGTAGTAAACGAGCGAAAAAACGCAATGATGATTCAGTTCCTACTGTCGAATCGGATTCAAATTCGTCTTAATTTTTTCTCTTGATTTATTTTAGTGTTTCAATGAATTGTGAAAAAAATACTATTCTGTACATTTCATTTTTCTTCTACTTTTTTTCATTCATTAAATTGAAATTTTTCTGTTTTTTGTTCTTTTTTTCTTTGTACATGTGTGTTTAATATCATCACATATATTATTGTTTAAACTTAAAAGTATTAAAAGAAATATATATTGAAAAAGATGAATAATGACACAT